GGGTCTCCGGGGCCGGGGAAACAGGGCCAGAGGCTGGGAACCGACGAGGGCGGGTCCGGAGCCAAGCCGACTCGGGTCGGCGGGCTCGAGAGGCGGTCGCCAGCCGGGCTCACCTCCTTGGGAGACCTCGGTCTAACAAAGCCCCGGGCCGAGTGGGGTGCGGGAAGGAGATGGACTCTGGGACTGATGTTTCTTGAGGACCCCATTCCCCGACTCTGTGCCGGAGCCAACCCCCTGGGAGGTGCTCAGACTCCCGCATGCACAAGGACAAGAGGTGCAGCCGTGACACCAAAGTCTGAAATGACGCGTCCCCCTTCCCATTCTCGCAGGGGCATCGAGAGGGTCGGTTCTCCGCAGGTCATAGAGCCAGGGAGGCAAGGGACCAGGTTTTCCACCCTCCGTACAGTGCGCGCCTCAAATCAGCCTCTTTCACGCTCGCCAGTCCAGGAGACAGGACCGAGAGAAGCTCGGCCGGCAGAGGCGCCGAGACCCTGCGCCTGCAGGGCAGTGACGGGGCTCGGCTACAGCCCCCTCCTCCCTCCGCGCACCCCAAGTCAGCCGACGCTCTCCGCCAGCCAGGCACACAGCGCACGGGCACCTCCCGGGTCCCTCTCGCACTTGGGAAGCTTCACTCCAGCCTGCGGCTCCCAGTCCTCTCCGCCTCCCTGCAGCCCTGCCCCAGCCCCGGGGTACTTGCTCCGAGATGCGGGCCAGCGGGATCGAGAGCGCAGCGGGCGGACAGCGGCCCCGCACCGCGCCGACTTCGCAATCCGTGGTTGGGGCTCTGGCGAGGTGTGATGAGCGAACGAGTTACACGGAGCTTGGATCTGGACTCTCGGGCGCTGTCGAGTCCCGCAAACCCAGGGTCGCGGTTGCAGCCCCCAATCCCGCCGCGGTTCCGCGGAGGAAAACAATGCGACCGCCCGGAGGTCTGGGCCGGGCCCCAGCAGCCCCGCCCGCCTCCCGGTCGGACCCGCCTCCGGCCCGCCTCGAGGTCGCCGCAACTAATCCGGCTGTCGCAGGCCGGGTAGACCCCGCCTTCTCGACACCTTCCCACCAATAGTCCTCCTCGGGGCCGGGGCTCCGGGAGCACCTCCCCGTGAGAGGCCAGGCCGGGAAGCTGAGCTGGAGACCAAAGCCAGGCTCGAGCTGGAGGAACCCGCGGACAACCGCCGAGACCCAGACAGAGGAGGGGGTCACACGCTTTAACACGGAGAGGCCCTGGGACGGAAGAGCTGCTGGGAGGAAAGACGGGCCTGAAACGCAGGGACCTCGGCTGGGCTAGACTGTCAGAGCCTGCGCGACCCTCCCTCCCCTCCTTTCCTATACCCGAGGGCTTTGGCTACTCTGCTCCCTGGGGAGTCTCCCGCCGCCCACTCAGCCCCCAACTTTCTGTTCTTTCTCTCTAGTCTTTTTACCTCAGTCCTCTTATTTTTCCCCATGCCCTTCCTCTGGTTCACCCTGACCCCAATAAGGGAGGCCTGCATGCATTTAGGGGCTTGAGGCCTGGGAAAGAAAAGGAAGATGTCACCTGGAGGTTTTCCTAGTTCCCATCATCTCCTCCCCTCCCATCCCAACTGCCAAAGCAGGATGGGCTTGGGCCACTGAGCCAGGAACTAAGGAGCCAGGATGCCAGAGTGGCTGGCAATCAGGCTGCTGGCTGATGGAAGAGAACAGGTGAGTCAGGCAAAAGCCAAAAGAGAGGTGAGATCAGGACAAACTAACTCAGAGAATCATACTGAAAGAATGGAAAAGTGACCAGCTGTCCCAACTCCACATAGCCTTACTGTTCCCCAAACACAGGGTTAGTGATGTCCCATCTTTCCGCAGAGAACCCTGGACATCCCTCCAAACAGCAAGACCGCTCCTTCTCCATCCCCACCTTCCATAAAAATCCTTTGATTCTGGCCCTGGCTGGGTAGCTCAGTTGGCTACAGCCTTCTTCTGGTATGCCAAGGTGGCAGGTTTGTTCTCCGGTCAGAGCACATGCAAGAATCAACAATGGCCCTGACTGGTGTGGCTAAGTGGTCAGGGCATCAGCCCAAGCATGGAAGGGTCACTGATTTGATTCCTGGTCAAGGGCATGGTACCTGGGTGCGTGCACAGGAGGAAACCCATCCATGTGTCTCACATCCATACATCAATGTTTCTCTCTCTCTCTCTCTCTCTCTCCCCCCCTCCCTTCCACTTTCTCTAAAAAACCAATGAGGGGGGAAAAATCCTCGAGCGAGGATTAACAACAACAACAACAAAAAGAATTAACCAATTAATGCATAAATTAGTGGAGCAACAAATTGATATTTCTTTCCCTCTCTCAAATAAAAAAGAAAGACCCTTTGATTCTGGGACTGTCGGTGGGGAGAAAGAATACGGATATTTCAGACAGCACTGATTGGCTCCCCCCTTGATATTGCCTGCTAAGATTCTTCCCTGCGTGAGGGCCGGGACCCAAGACAAATGTTCTCAAAATTCCCAGGATAGTGGGCAGCCTGGGAGACATTAGCGTTCTTGGGTAGTTTTATCTGAGTGAGCACCTCCTTCCACCACACCCCCACATCCTGAAGAAAAGGAGAGACGGGGTGTGCTACTTCTGGCCAGTCTTTACTGGACTGAGATCAGGGTACATAGCATCACCAACTGGGCTGAACCCCACCATGAGGAAGCAAGAGACATAAACACAGAGACAGAGACAGAGACAGAGACAGAGACAGAGACAGAGACAGAGACAGGCTCGCAAGGCCAGGTGAACCAGCGAGGCAAGCAGAATCAGAAACAATGGAACAATGTTTATACAAGGTTAACTGCTGAGGGTCTTGGGTCCAAGACAATTCAGTGGCCAGTGGGGATGTTTTAAAGGCTGGAAAGAAGTTTGGGGAGAAAGACACCTCAAAATATAGAGGTTGAAGTCTCCCCAGCTCCTAGTGCAGAGCTTAGGTACTCAGACATGCACTCATTGAACAGGTTGACGAATAGGGATCGAGCTGTAACTCATGTACAGTTTTACAGCCCAACTGAAGTCTCAGTTCAAGCCATTAAATGTTAAGTACTTACTTCAGGCACAATCCATATTGGGATGTGGTCTGGTCTTTAAGAAAATGGCCATCTATCTGAATTAAAACAAGACTTACAGCCCTGGCAGGTGTGGTTCAGTAGTTAGGACATCGGCCCATACACCAAGGGGTCATGGGTTTGATTCACAGTCAAGGGCATGTTACCTGGGCTGTGGGTTTGATCCCCGGCCCTGGTCAGGGTGTGTGCAGGAGGCAACTAATCGATATGTCTCTCTCATATTGATGTTCCTCTCTCTGTCTTCCCCTCCCTCCCTTCCACTTTCTCTCTAAAAATTAATGGAAAAGCCCCGCTGGCATGGCTCAGCAGTTAAGCACAGACCTATGATCCAGGAGATCGCTGTTCAATTCGGTCGGGGCACGAGCTCAGGTTGTGGGCTCAGCAGGAGGCAGCCAGTCAATGACTCTCTTTCATCATTGATGTTTCTATCTTTCTTTCTCCCTTCCTCTCTCTGAAATCAATAAAGACATATTTTTAAAATAATAATAATAAAAATAAATAGAAAAAAAGCAACGGAAAAAATATCCTCGGGTGAAGATTAACAAAAAGCAAAACCAAAAAAACTAGACGTGCATGTATTAAATGATTAAAAGCAATACCAAGTCTAAAACAAAAACCCAAAAGCCACATTGAACATAATTCCTAAACGAAAAAGGAAAGACAATAAATGTTTTTTTGTGATGACTACAGAGAAAGATGTTGGATACGTCTTGGGAAGACCTCGGTGGGAGTTAGCTTGGTACAAAAGAAAGGAGAATATGTTCCAAAAAGGAACATAACTTAAGCAAAAGCTTTTAGTTAGTGATCATGGGACCTGAAGCATAGATAGCAAACGGTCCTGTATGACCGATATGTAAGAAAGATACTAGTTAGAAGCAGAGGAAAAGGGAGGAGGGAGACAGATTATGGAAGGCCTGGTGTGCCGAGATGAGTAGGCTAAAATAATTGGACAGGAATAGGATGTCATTTTAAGTTCTTGAATAAGGCTGCTTGTTACTTGTCAAAATGCCTTATTGTAGCAAGAAGACAAGGAGACCTTCTAGCAAGAAGATAGGAAAGTTCACGGATGAGGGGGAGAGACGGCCAGACAAAGAGGTTGGCATTGGGATGAAATGGAGGAATCTGAGAGTTATTTCAGAGGAGAAGTCCAAATGATGCTGTTCCTACTCCCTGGAGTCTTCTGGAGAAAATCACACAGTCTCACAGACTGGTACCTTTAATAAATTCAGGATCTCCAAGCTTGGAAAATCACTGTCTCCCAGTCCCTAC